AGGATGCCTTCTGGTCCCATCTGAAACTGCATTAATACCTCACCTGTGAAAACGCCATCTGAGCTACAGGAGTGGCAGAACTCAGTAGGTGTATAAGACATCCAAGTCTGAGATCTAGTATAATACTAATTTTAGAGATATGAGCTCATACAAAAAAATCAGTGTTCCATCGATGAGATGATAATAAAATAAATATACGTTCAAATGAGATTAATTCATTCATGTACTATTTTTGCAGATAACAGGAAGAGCATTTGTTCATTTATGCAGCAATATGTCCTACTGAGAAACATGAAATTCCTCCGATGATTTCTTACATGGTGATTTTGGAGGAGAAGAAAATGCTGCATTTTTATATAAATGCCTTATAGTGTAGCATGGATGAGGAGATGAATTATTTAGGTATGACAGTCACTGACTCAGAAGGTCTCTGGTTTAAGATGCGGATCTGTTACAATAATTTTAGAAATACTTGTCAGATTTTTTCCCCTCCATCACGTAAGTCTTACTCTGACCAAATCTTAGGATTCCATAAGAATACTTAGTCTCCACCTGTATTTCCCTTACAACAACTTCTGTATAGCTTCTCTTTTAATTTCATTCCACTGATCTACTGAAATCTGATGGCCTGATGCTGCCTGGTAGTCTTGATCACTCAGGAGTTACTACTATTATTTTATTTTTTTTTTTTCACTAAATGTGGTAATCACTTTACAGCACCTTTAGAAGACCCAAGGAAAACCACAGCACTTCCATCCCATTGGAAATCAATCCCAGGCTTTCTGCTTCCAGTCCCACACCACAACCACTAGGCTATGTATCAGAGACACCCAAAAAGCAGTCTGCATCCAATGGGTGGGCCAGGCAGGAGCTCTTCCAGCACGGGGCATGGGTCAGCGGCTGCATAGGAAGTTCTTAACCATCAGCTTCAACCTCTTGGGCTTTCCAGTCTTTCTGGGTGGATCCTTTGTTCCACCTACACTGGTGGAAGTCAACCCCTGGCTCAAGCAGCTCATCCCATGGAGAAGGGACAAGTCCCAGGAACTAAACTGGGACCATAAGTAAGTGCAGTGACACCATGGCTGGTCTCAGAGGAGATCTAAATTTGGTCTCACATGCAACACACAGCCTGTCCAAACCCACACAATAACTCCATTGTGCTGCATTTGGTTGTGCCATGGGTGCCATGCCCAGGATTTGTTTGATGCTTAAATGTCCTGACTGCACGAGGGAGAAACTGTGTCCTGACTTTCTTAACCTGAAACTGCAACACTGTGTTTTCAGACCTAAGCTAAGGGGCTGCCATCTCCTGCAGGTTGCTGTTGGTGCATTAGGCAGGACTTGGGCTCAAGAGTCCACCCCGTCCATAACGCAAATCTGGCCAAAGAGAGGGACAAACACCTTAGGACACATATAACATGCTTGCGTGTTTCCCATGACCACTCTCCACCCTCCACATCCACGGCCATACACAAACAAATTATTTACCTTCTCTAAAAAGCAGTCTCTGCCCTTACAGACCACTTTAATATTAGTGCAGAGGGGTCCAGTGAAAGAATCTGCTCAGCCTAAAAATTCAGGTGCATTTGTAGCAGGATTTTTTTTTTCTTCTTGGCTGACTTTTTAACTGTGATTAAGTTACGCTTTAGTAGCTCAGAATAAAAATACGAATTAATTAGGAAGTAAGATATATAAGTAGCACCAGAGAAAATAACATGTGATTCAGACCTATATTAACAGTTTCAGCTAGAAAAAACTTTGACTATATTCCAAACTAGAGGTAGGCAAAGTGACAATATATTCCACAGTGAAAAATTGGTAGACTAAATCTAATGTTACTTTTCTACTACATTGTTAAAATATTTGAAATGCTTTAAATTCAGTTTGACAGCCTGAAGTATTTTCTGTTTATTCTGCAACCACTAGTACTCTATTCCCAATTTATTTTTGTGCCAGAATAGACAGGACTTGTTGATAATGGGGACACAAAACCTGTAGGAGGGCTTGGCCTTTGAAGGGTACATGATCCTAATGCGTACGGAAAACTGTGGGTTTAGGGCTGCTGGGGTTTTTTCCTCTTTGATAAACAACTAGAAAATATCATAAAACCAGGTAGTCATAGGTCATTACGTCTGCTTGATTATATATCTAAAAGTAAAGAAATGCCAAATAACTGCACTGTCTTCTGGGGTAAGGCTCTGTCTTCCATGGTTATTCTGACAGAAGGACTTTGTTAATGCCATTAAAGGGCTTTTTGATAGCCTCAAACAAGACTTGGGTAAACATAAGGCTCATGGCCTTAAACCTCCCACAGTATGATAAAAATTCTCTGGTTTGGCTATTTCTTCATTGGTTTCAGTGGAACTACAATGATTTATGGCTCACTGAGTTGTCTGTAATGATCCCTAAACTACCTGGTTTGTCATCTTTATACAAAAGCATGCCTGACTTGGTGTAGTTGCAAATTTGCCTCCAAAATAGCTTTCCTGGTTAACAGTTTCTCTTGCCACCTTAGAATACGGCAGGTTTCTCTTCCTTCCTGGAGGATCTTCCCAGTGATGGAGCTCAGAGGTGTCAGAGCTAGCTCTGAGCATGCTGACACAGATATCACACAGGACAAAGATACCAGTTTTGATCCTAGAATCAAACGAGAGTCCCAGGGGCCTCTCTGCATCTCTGTTTGATGAAACCTTGTCTTTGGAGCAGGAGGAATTAAAAGTGAGAATGTCTTTATTTCTTCTTTGTTGTGAGAGGCAAGGGGATAAAAAACTTTTGGAAAATGCCATTCAGTTAACCACCTATTTCATTTTTATATATTCTGTGCTATTTGCATGTTGAAGAACAAATTATTCCCTTGAAGAAACTTCTACCTGCTGTTCACAGGAGAAAGCTTAGACTTGCACAAGAAACAGTGCATGTTGAAAACATAGGCAAGTGATATAGCCTTGGAGTTGGGAGTATACTGAGCCAGAGGCTCATTTAATACCACCTGTGGCAGTGCTTATACTATTATCGATTTGGGACTGTTATGAAGAATGAAGTTAATTCTTATTTGTTTGAAAAAGCTCAATTTAGCAAGTTGCATCTGGGGTAAATATCTGGACATGAATCATCAGATCTGACCAGAATCTCATTTCTAGTCTGACATCAATTGTCAACATACCCTTTGATAAAACATTACCTCCTGGGACAATCAAGCAATAGGTGTAAAAGATGCTCTCATCAAAAAAACTGTAATATAAAAAACAATGAACAGAAATAAATACCCAAACAACAGAAGTAAAAGGGAAATTATGTTACGGTATGAGTCACCTGACTGAGTCTATATGTCTAGCACAGATCAGGAGTGTTTCTAGAACTGCCAATATATTTATTCAGTGTTAAAACACTGTTTGCAGAAGGCGAAAGAAACACGACTATTTTCTCTGTGTAAAATTCCTGGGGTTTCTGGAACTTGGATTTTTCTTTTATTATTTCCAAACTTAGGTGCAATATTGATATCATCTGTACTAGAGAAGCTTTCATTCCTGTTCCTTTATAACACACACTGCTTCCCCTTATCTGCTGGCAGTTTATAATCAGAGCTGTGATTGTACAAGGCAACGTCTAAATGTGCTGGTCATTGTCCTTAAGCAATAAAATACAAACAACTCCATCCCCAAGGCCAGGATATGAACAAATTCCTTTTAGTGAGTACCACATCAACCCTTTTCCCATTCCTGTTCTTGCACTTACACAGGCCAGATGGTAGAAAAAAAGTCAGAAGATCACTCAACATGGAGAGTTCCTCTCTTTAGCCCTCTGATCTGCTACTTTCTCGAATAAAGAGTGGTAGATTTTCTTCATATTCATGCAGTGGTCTCTTCCATTTCCCATAGAATTTTAAGCTTAGGAAAGAAAGCTTGTTTACTAGTTTTAGGCTTATGCACAGGACTGCAGAGATCTGAGATACCCTTCAGAAAAGAAAGCGAAATAGCTGTGATGATGGAGACAAAACCTGCAATATCTTACTAGGCATGTTTGTTCCCCTTGTGAAGATACATCATGAAATATCACACACCAAGTATTTTTAGAGACTTTTTTTCCCAGTAATGACTGTTGGAAGCATCCTTTATTAAAGATTCTCCCTGGACTAGGCTGTCTGTGGAAAGCTGTGAATTTGCAAGTTTTTAGCACTGTATTTCAAGGCTTACTGGAGGTTCCTTAAACAAGAAAGGAAACCTCTATACATATGGTATAAATGCAGTGGTCATTAGGATAAAAATGCCCCCCCCACACACACCAAAAAAAAAAAATCAAAGGAACTTAAACACCTGTCACTTTCTTGCATCAGTTCAGAGTCATTTTACTCAAACCCAATACTGAGATATGCTGCAAAATTAATACACCACTTTCTTATGTGTGCAATCCATTTTGATTGTTTAAAGTGTTCAAGCCAAACCCCAGAGTCACTGTGCAGTTCTTGTTCAGGGAGTGCTCGCTGACGGCCCTGGGGCTCTCACCTGAGCATGGGCCATGGGACCCAGTCGGAACAAAGAGCTCTGGCCATGAACCGCGCAGCAAAGGCCGTCAGAGCCACTGGGCCAGTGTAACTTGATTGGCCATTGAGAGCTATAGGCCTAAGTACAGAGCAAGAGGACTTGAAATGAAGTCTGTGAAAATGGAAAAGCAGCTTATTGTGGATTTCTTCTTTTTAATTTTTCAATCATAATCAAATTTATGACACTTGAAAAATTTTGGCTAGTCCTACTGTTGGTCTAGAAAGGGACTGAGAGCAAGAGGATGGGAGAGCTCCCCAAAATTTTGAAAACCTTTTCCTGCTATTGTTTCAGATGAGGAGAAGCAGAGGATAAGGTAAAGCAAATTAAAAGTCAATGTTTCAAAGACATTTTTTTGGACCTCCAAAATGTAAACTAGCTGTTGAAGCCAGTAATTAGACTCCTGTTGTGCTTAGAAAAACTGAAGCATAGGCAAAGTTATGAAAAGACCTTGTTTCTTTTTTACATACAAGTTTCCTCACTCTCCTCTGAGGTTCTTGCACCAGGAAGAATTTCTTTTCTGTTGGCAGTATCTGGTTCTTTGCTGGTTGATCTTTCTGTATTTTTAATATCTGTCATCTCTTTGCCATCTGGTTTGAAGCGTTTCATTATTAAAACAGAGAGCACTATGTATAAGAGACAGCATCCTGCCCGTAGTCCTGCAATGAGGCCAAGATAGACATTTCTAGGAAAAAAAAAAAAGGTGCCCAAATATGTTTATATTAATAAACCTTGCCAATTCTGAGTGGAACCAAGTAAGATATCAAATATACTTTGGCAAAACCATCTATTCTCAGCCAGGTATTGCTCCATGTTTTGAGAAGTAACAGAAAGCAAACAACCTCATGATATTTAGCCCCAGGCAGGTTCTAATCAGGTCCTATACTCCTAGCAGAAATGCCTCCTGTCTGAAGGGTTCTCCCCTTCAGCTGACTACATTTTAGAGCTGGGACAGGACGAGCTGCACCAGCTGGGGCTTTTCCCCTGTTGTCCCAGCCTTACCCCAGCCCCTCACTGGCAGCACTCAGTGCCCCTGGCCACAGCTCTCCATGCACCACCAGTCAAAATCCAAGTGGATTTTGTGAGGTGTCTTATATATTAGGAAGCAGAGAAATAAGGGATGAGGAAGAGCATCTTCGGTGCTACACTTTCTCCAACTCCACGTTTTTTTCGTGTCCCACAAAGCCAAAGCATCGCAGAGTTATTCAGTGTGCTAAGGCTTCAATAAAGGAACAAATTCTGGTGATGTAAGGCAGTGTACTGCAATGTCATATGTCAGATTGAATCAAAATTATTTGGCTTATTTGATCTATTAAGGCCTAGTCAAAATAAGGAGCTTTGGTGCTTTTAGTATCCTAATCAGTCTATTGACAATTGACATGGGCAAAGTATACCTTGTTTCTTGGTGCCCAAAGCTGCCTCAGAAGCCAAATTCCCTAGCCCTTACCGAAGATTTCAGCTTACCTGAATGCTTTCGTGTCGTATACCCGGCAAGATCCAGATCCCCCACAGTTTTTTGTCCCCCATTTCAAGCAGGTTTTATCTATCAAGGCACCAAAATAAATAGGGGCTGGGAGTCCTCCTGCAAAGAAAAATCTTATTACGTGATCACAGACATGAAGATCTCAGTATTTAATGTCATGGTAAAGAAATGAGGAAATGAATCTGAGGGTTTCTGAATTATGGCTGCATAAGACGGGACTAAACATCCAGCTCCAGCCATGAGATTCCAAGAGTTGTGAAAATATTTAAGCAAGTACCTAAATGGAGTTGAAAAGATGGAAGATTATAGCATTATTATATTCAGCAAGGGAAATGTTAGTAATTCTACTTTAATGGCATTTTTATTACAGTTATAACTTCTGTTGTTTAAAGAAATAATATAACCAACATTTCTTTTTCAGCCCCCAGTGTGGAATTATGTGCCATGACATATTAATATTTATGTATACTAATGTATCTATTCAGGTATTACACAAAAGTTTGCCATTAAAAATGGTTAGCTGATTGCAAAGGGCTGAAATTAAGCACTTGCTCACAACTAGGTAATAAGTGTATTACTTATGTAGTACTGAAAGAATTCCTTTTAGAGAGTCATAATGCTTTAATATAATTAGTAAGCTGTTTCAGGGATAATGTGCAGTGTTGTGAAGAAAACTATTTCATAAAAGCACAAAATTGATTCTCTGCAGCATTCAGCTAAAATACAGAGATTAGGAGAGAGAGACAAATGACTGCTTGCTTTGTCTGTGTGGGGAAGGTTTCAAAAATCAGCAAACAAATGAAGATAAGGCAAGGTTTGCTAGAGGAAGGGCAGACTCCACGTCCAAAGACTTGAATGATGATTTATTGCAGATAAACAAAAGAAAGAAAGTAATAGGCAGAGTACATGGTAGCTGTAAGTGAAAAATGGTCAGCAAAAGGGAGCATAGGTGTTAAGGACATCCAGACTGATCAAGCTCAGATAGTTGTGTCCACGAATCAAAAAAAACCCAAAGTACAAAGAAATTTCCTTCCTTTGCCTGATTCCTTTGCTGCATAGAAAAAATTCTGAAGGCATAATCATAATATGTAATTACATAGCAGGAAACATGTAGCAAGCTCCTCCAAATATTTTGAAATGCATAGTCTGCTTACAAAGACAAATTTTGGAAAATTTCTTTTGTTCTCATCTGGAGCAAGGACATTACAACGTCTAGCTTTGGTCTATTGCTTTGACTACCTACTTGAATCCCACAAAGAAATGAAGTTTTACCTAGTACTCTACCACCTAAAGTTTCAATCCCAACAGCAAAAGATTTCAGGTCTGGTGAAACAGATCTAAAAAGGAAACAAAAATAGTATATTGTTTTGGGGAACAATAGAATTATGTAGCTACAGTCATGCTGTGAACATCAGCACGTGCCCCATTGCAAGAGTACTGTGGTGTACCTAGCATAGCTTACTCAAACCCTAATTGAAAACTTTCACCAAAGTTAAAGTTCAGATGTAGACCCTCCTTCCGTTGATGTCAGTGGATGAACTCTCAATGAAATAAATGGGAGAATCTACAGAAACTGATCTTGAATCCAAGGAGAACAGATTGTAAACACTTTTGGGAAAGGATGCATGGGAAAATTAAAGTGAACCAACTAAAAGTAGGCAGTTCATGTCCGTAAGTTAAGCTCCAAGAAGCTGCCTTGTTTTAGAAGGGGCTGCATTGTGCAGTGGTGAACAGAGGGAACAAGGGTGTGCAGTCCTTGCTAGCTACATGCAGGTAAAACCCACTTCTGCCGCTAGCATTTTGCAGAGAGACAGCGAATGTGCATTACCTGGCTACAAAAGCACCTCATTCCTACCAGTGGAGAAACAGCCTGTGTCCATCAGATGAACTGGAAGCATTGACAAGAAGCAGAGGGGAGTACTGAGCTGGCACAGGGGCAGGAGAGAGACTTGCTATGGCCAGCCTGTTTCCTGAACTGGAGTTTATACATCAGTATATTGTCTTTTCAGCATTAACACGAAAGGCTTCTTATTAAACACATTAGTGTTCTGAAAACTGCCCAGCAAAGTTAGCCTTGCCCATAATCCAGGCATGCGTTAAGAATGGGGGCACTTAGAAATATTGCAGAAGAATCAGCAGCTTAGCCAAGAGAGTTATCTAGTCCTGTGCACTGACTACTGAAGATTGTGATTCACCCACGAGCATGAGTGGAAAGAAACTTCCATGCAAAAGGCACAGAACATTGTCTTTTCTTCTGAGTGTAAAATAGCAGTGCTGCTTTAGAACTGAAGGAGCAAAAATAAAAAAAAAATTGCTGCTGACATAGTTCTGTTTATACAAGCCTGACAAAAAAATGGGAGTATCGGACTTCTCACAACACAGAAAAACATTGTGAGGCAAAAAGACTTAAAGGTGAATGTTTTTATCCCAAGTAATGTGAACAGCATAGTCACCTTGGACATGGCTTAGCACCACATCTTATTTCAAGTTCTCTGCTCTGTTAAAAACATCCCTGTCATTGGAAGTGAAAACTAACGTGCAGGATCAGCGTAAGGCCCACCATTTCATCAGCAAAGTACCTACTCAGCCTTAAACTGGAATTAAATTGGTGGACAGGCATTTTGCTGTGCCTCTGAACAGAGCTGGATTTCAGAGTACAGGCAAAGACTCGGGGCCCCAATTTGATCAGCATGCCATTCCTCACAATAGGAATGAAATAGTAGATACCGTATTCTGTTTCTCTTTCCCCAAGTTTTATGGTCAAGGTAAGGTAAAGTATTTCACCTAAACATAATCATGTATGTAGGAGTGCCTCCTAAGGCTAAAATAAATGCACATGCAGTCTGTAATGCTAAAAAATAGGGAAATGCTTTGGTACAGCTTTCTCTTTGGCATTGTCCCAAAACTGCAGAGGAATTGCCAAGCCCGTGCCCTCGTCCTTCCACACAGCTGCAATTGTGGAACACCTGAAAGGAGAAGATGAGAAGAAGAATTTATTTAATCAGAATTCAGTGGCACAAAACTATTTTAGTAGCTAGATTTTTCACTCCCCGTAACAGGCAGGCTGTTGTTTACATCGAAAGAACCTCCCTAATCATCTTTGCAGACTGATGGCCAAGCTCGTTGGTATGCTCCAGCCACTCTGAGCGGCTCCAGAGGCACAAAGAAACTGTGACTCTAGTTTCAGCCACGCCATTGCTAGGACAGAAGGTGCTCTGTGTATGCTTAAAATGGGTCAAAGCTATAAAATTCAGACGTGAATTGTTATCCAGCCATTCTGCTCAGGAATCCTATAAAGTGGATGAGTAACAATAAAAATATAGATGTGGACCCAACAATGCAATCATGTGTGTTTATTGTTATGTATCTAAAACAGCATTTGGTGCTGGATTGAGAGTGAGCTGTTTTTACAGCCTTTGAAGTTAGCAGGAGACATGGGTTTGAAAGCCAATTTTCCTGAAGTGAAGCAAGAAAATAGTGCTGGGTTATATGGATATAAGCCCGAAAATGTTGCTTCTCATTTTCAGTATTGTTGCATGAAGACAATTCTGCTTCTGCCAGAAGACATGACCATTTGCACACACTTCTGCAAGCCTTCTGTTTTTAATGGTCTTGCCCAGGTAGGATTGTTTGAAGTCCTGAAATGGCTTTGCTGCTGATACACTGAACAAAATAGCCAGATGTATATTTATGGGACCTCTTGGCTGTATAATTTAGTGTTACAACTTTCTTTCCTGAGCTATGGCAACTCAGGAAAGCAGGCAATTCCAGCATAATCTGTAACAGTTTGTGAAACCAGCATTCACAGTTCTATACATTTCTGCTGCATGAGTTAACACTACAGGATTTTGCTAGTATAGCAACCAGACTAGTAAAGGTCTTCTAAAGCAAACCCCTCTTAGCTGTGTTGTACCTACACAGTAAGAGATCTACTGAGAAACTGAAAGCCAAATTTATGGTCATCTTGCTGAGAAGAAAATAAATTTTAAAAAATCAAAATAAAAGCATTCAATAAATGTATGTTAAGAGTCTGAAGTTTTCATTTCTTTCCTGAATAGCTCACTTACCTTACTCCAACTCTTAAAAACCCTTCCTGCAACCTTGCACTCACTCAGTTTCTACAAGGTTAAACCATATAGAATGGACATTTGTGTCTACAGGATTTCTTAATCACAAAGCCAAAAAATTAATAGATGGAGAAATCTAGCTATACCTATAATCATAGAGTCATAGAATAGTTTGGGTTGGAAGGGACCTTTAAAGGTCATCTAGTCCAGCCCCCCTGCAATGAGGAGGGACATATTCAACTAGATCAGGTTGCTCAGAGCCCCGTCCAGCCTGACCTTAAATGTTTCCAGGGATGGGGCACCTACCACCTCGCTGGGCAACCTGTTCCAGTGTTTCACCACCCTCATCGTAAAAAATTTCTTCCCCATATCTAGTCTAAATCCACCCTCTTTTAGTTTAAAACCATTACTCCTTGTCCTATCTCTACACGCCTTACTAAATAATCATCTATCTGCCTATATATTTACCATATTCTTTCCTATCCCAGTCGATGATTTACATCCTGCAAAGCAGGCTGTCATGTAAGTGATCCCATTATCCCCACATACAGGGTCCCACTGATCCAGCTTGCAGCTGCAGTCAATATTGCAACTGGCCATGAAGCTGGTTTTGGGGGAGGAAAGATGCTTTAGTCTGGAGGAAAATAAAAAGAAATAAGAGAATTATTTAGTCGAATTATATAGTCAAACAAAATATCAGGGAGTAGGCAGGAAAAACATGGAGAAATTGAAGCAATCAACATGGACAGGTATCTGCTACCATCCAACGGACTGTGAAGTTGTTATATGGAGACTAAGCTAATTTCAGCTAAACCAAAGTTCTTGAGATTTTTCATCAAGCATTAACGTTTTTGTGGATTGTTGCTGAAAAGTCATGGAACTTACAAACAAGGTATTCTTGTCTGGGAGGGAATATTTGGTATTACTTTTTCATTTGAAAGCTCAACCCAAGAAAAATAAAATCATACCTTGAATCTCTTATCACCTGTAGACCGGCCATGCTTTTTCCTTAGCAGTACCATGTCTGGGTGCTAGAAATGGTGACATAAAACTACAGCAACAGGATGTCCTTGACATTTTTTTCACTGGATTAGAGCCAGTTAGTAGCAATGAAAGTTGCATGAGTCTGAGTGAGAAGTGCTGCTTCTCTCCCAGCTCTGACCCTATTCAACAGCAGCAGTCCTGCACCTGGGACTGGCTTGAGCCCATTTCTTATCAGATCTCATTTCTTGTTGTATATTTTCATGGACTTTCATAGCCTCCACTTTTACCAGCATTTCTATAAGAAACATCAAAATAAGGCCCCAAGGAGTTAAACTAAGTGGACAACAACTAGAACTGAGAATTTAAAAAGTGGCCAGCAGCTCTGAGGGCATGGTAGCAGGGCTCAATTTTGAGAAAGTGTTAGGAGTCCACCATCTACAAATCACCCCTGCTTTGAAGTAATTCAAAATATGAAGGAAAAAGTGTTCAAAATTTGCCTTTTCTTCCTCCTCATACCTCAAACAAAACACACCTCAAGGGGGCTACGTTTCTCCTGCCTTTTAGAAGGGAAAATAACTGGGCCCTCGTTAGGCTGTTCCTTGTCTTCAAACTACAAATTGTTAAACAGGTAAAACAGTATGTGAGCCGCTTAACTAGAACAATCCTAGCACATGCTAAATTCTCCAGTATCAGTTCTCCTGGAGAAACTGTAATTGCTCTTTCAGTATTTGCTGTATTTGCTGTCTTGATGTTTCTGCTTATTTTTAATTCACTCTACAGTATCAGATGTTGCACTCAGCCAGAGTTATCTCAAAGTTGAACTCAGTGCCAGGTTTGCCAAGACAACTTAGATATTTCCCTGAACATAGGCTCAGTTTCAAAAAACACAGGACTGAGTTTCTGTCTGAATTGAAAATCTAGCAAGACCTGCTGGATTCAGTTTAATCCTTTAAAATCCCTTGAAATTTGTTGGACCAGTCTGAGCTAAATTTAAACAGTAAGCAATTGTGGCAGGCTGCTAGAGTCAGCAAAACGTTCTCAAGAAAGCATGACCATGGTCTTGGTAAGGGAGGGGGAACGTCCGTTTGGGCGGCACACACTCCTGACATGACCACTTTCTATCTCCCAGCTGAGAAAATGGATGCAGGCAGGTCAGCAGCTCCAGGTACCAAGGGAGGCTGGTAATTCCCCATGCAGGTTGATAACTACTGATCTAGAGGATCGTCCCTTCTACAGGCAGAGCTGCTGGGGGACTATGGGGAAGTCACTTTCAACACTTTTTTTACATCCCACTCCCTACATGGTAGGAAGAGACCAGCTTTAAGTTAAAGCTTTGAAATAGAATATAAAAACTTAATTTGCCTGTGATAAATTTCATCTTAATTAGTAATTTGCCAGAATAGAGGTATATTGTCAATATGCAGCAATAAATAATTTAGAAAAAGAAACGTTCAATTTAAATGAAATTTGAAAAACAAAATTGGGATATTCTGCCCATTCTCAACACTAGGTATCATTTCAGCCTGACAAGTCTATCTCAACATCTAGGATTTTCTTGCATGTAACACCACCAACAGAGCAGTAAAATGATATAATCACAGTAGCTGTGCTCTAGCTGAAACCACACTGATTGACACTAGCAGATGACCTAATACAGGTCAATTTCAATGAAAATTTGTTGTCTTTAAACGGACACATATATTAAATATTTTTATGCAAAAGGATATAGCAATATGCTACAGTAAATCAACAGAGAAGACACATTTCGGAACTGATCCAAATTCAAATGAAAATGTTTTCTAGAGTAGAAGGTTTGTAGCCCAGATGAGATTACACACCCAGATTAGTTTGCGAGAATAGAGGAATACAGGTGCATGCCCCATGTTCTGCACAGGGCAGGAAGCAGCCATGACAAATGACACGACCAACACAAACCCAACGGGATACAAACCCAGAGTAGGGTGCTGTCAGTCCAGCCACCTGGAGCACCTCACAACTACACATAAAGTACAAGAGGTTTAACAAATATGCTACTATAAAGGTGATGCACGCAAACTTTGCCATTTCAGTTATGTGAAGTTTGAATTTCTTGATCAGAAATCCTCCTAGAAACATCCCCAGGATTGTGATGGGTAAAAGTATCACACCTGCAAATAGAAGGTAAGAAAAATGTTAACTGCTGTCACTTGCATTGACCCTTTTTAGAATAAATATCTTGTTCTAGTAGTTTCCAAAAATATCAGATACTGACCTATTTTCAGACTGATCCTTTGAGGTTCTAAGACTTTTTGTTACCTTTAAGTAATTTTGCTTACTTTCTCATTTTCTTTCAAGTCATGCTATGACTTTAAAAAGCTTAGTTCCTCAATATTCCCTACCTTTTTACTGTACTGTTGTTTGTATGTATACTGATACAATAAAACCTATACAGGTACCTGTTAGAAACTGGAGTAAATGACATAAATGTATTAGCTCATGGGCACTCCTCCATCTAAAATAAAACATTAAACTTCCTGAAAGTTACCAAAAAACAATCTTCAAAACAGAACATGAAAGGAAGCAGCGTCTGGTGTTGATTGGATTCCATTTTGCTCTGAGAGTGAATCACTGAAAGATTTGCACTTAGATTTAACCCATTCAGCATTTCATAAACTCCAGCCCTAATATTTACATGCTAAATAGAGAGCTTTTACAAGGTTTTATTGTGAGGGGTTTGCCTTTCTCTGTGGGGTTTTTTTGGTTGGCTGTTTTTTTTCTCATGTTGTTATTGTAAAACTTTCCCTGCATCCAAAAGAAGATAGGAAAAAGAAAGTTCTTCCTACATTTGTACCTGACCTACAGCAAAGCAAAGTGCCTTCAGATTAAAGTAATGGAATATCAATTTTGCAATGACCTCAAATACCCTGTTTTTCTTGCCAGGCTATGAGACCGTATTAATCACTGTAAGACTAATATAATTTCAGCATTCTTTTTTTGTAGAACACTACAAAGAACTTATTTTTTGAGGGGACTAGCAAATAAAAAGAACTTTGAGCTGAATGAAATGAGTCAAAATTTTACATCTTGGGTTCTTATTGCTTATAAAATTTGTATTTGTAATCAAAATGGAAGAACTTTTATACCTAGATGTTATTCTGAAAAGGAAAAAATCACACATTTCATTAGACATTTTCTAAATTAAATGTTTTTTTTCTTTTAGTTGTTACTTAGTTGCAGTTTATGTGTGGTTTTTGTTAATGAAAACAGACACATTCATAACCCAATTCTCACTCTGAAGATAACTTCAGCCAAAAAAAAATCCACCCAGTTCTAGTAATCCTCTAGCTCACTAAACACCAGGAAAATTAACACTAAAATTAACATCCATTTTCAAAATATGGTACGAAAATTAATAAACTACTACATACTTCTTTTTAACCAAAAAAGTTCACAGAAGCTCTTCCTAAAAAGGAAGGTGAAATAACAAAGAAAAGCTTCCTTTTTGACACTGGAATTTAAAAGAAGGACAGGTACCTACCAATTAGAAAGATGGCCCTTGCCACTGATACATTAAATTGCTGCTCCATAAACTTCGTCTCATAGGTTATTAACCCAACAAGGGAATTGTACTGCAGAATAGTGAGGAAGATGTACACCAGGAAAATTGGATTTCCAAACAGCTTCTTCAGAGCTGGGAAGAAATCTGCAATGGAGAGGTATATGCTGTACACCCTGCTAAACACAGAGAAGAGTGGTTTTGACATCCTTTAGATAATAAAACTAACTTTTTAATTACTGGCTGTGTTGCAGGTCATAACTCCTTGCCTACCAAAATATATGCTTGCTCAAGTGAGAGTTTTCCTCATTGTCAACACATGACTTAAAGGAGCAGCATGGCTGAATGGCACAGTGGATGCTGAGCTGGGAATCAGAAATCCTAGATTATCTCGTGTGTGACACAGGACTATTCATCAAAGGCACTGAGGCTTGCAACACTGATTCTCAATGCCTGTACAGGAGAGTGTCCCTACAGGAGCATTAAGACTCTATAATATACCAACTGAAAAGTTTGGTGCCTAAAGCAGGAGCCTTCACAAACCACATGACAGCCCCACATGAGGCTGATATTCAGAGGAAGGCCCAGCAAAAGGCTGGAACCTTTCCTGAGACCCTTGATTAGAGTATCTAGGTCCATGAAATTAAATTGAAGACAAAAACCTGCATTTAGACTGTAGTCTGGCTGTTGGCACACTTGCCTAAAAGATGAGAGTTCGAAACACCTCTGCCATAGCCATGAAGGGGTGCACATGCATACATACATACAAATAAAACACTTGGGGTGTCCAGCAATGGCTAGTTGAGTCTGATATTGTCTATATGAGGTTAATTTAGCATCACTGAGCTCAAAGACAGGAGCTATGAATCCAGTGAAACCCCTCCAACAGCTAACATAATAGTTAGCCCCATGTTTCCCTCCCACATGTTGGCCTCAGTGAAACAGTAACTTGCCAGCTGTGCATTGGTCATTAATGAGGGATGGAACATTTTCCCCCCTCTTCCTTCATAATCATAAGATTATAGCTGTAATACATCATATGACAACTACCGTGTTGCACTGAGAATGTCTGGTGCTCAAAGCAACAGCATGGGATTTTTCCAGCTGTCTGACATAAGAGAGGACTGAAACACACCCTTAGCATGTTAAAGAGAGCATTTTTGCCCATCATTTGCACTGCAGAAACATGCATTTTGCTGAGCGTTGTGCAAATCCATGCTCAGCTCAGAATGAACCCATGAGAGGAAGTTCACATGCAAACATTTGGGCAATAATCTTTCACCTTTTACTGCCTCTGAAAACTTTAACTGTGGCTGAGCTGGGGGGTCTATTTTACAGTGATCTCCTTGAACAGGCAAATGACTAATCTTCAGGTTTTCATTCTCTCCTTCTTTTGGTAAGGAGTAAGGCAAAAACCAGAAAGGCAATGAAGCAATGAAGTTGACTGCTCCACAGATAAGCAATCCAAGCCACCAGGCACCAACCCAACGGGTATCCTTGGGATTTATGCTGATAGCATCTGTAAAATACAGAAAGAGAGGAAAACAGATTAAGTATCATGCAGAGCAATTAAACTGACTAGGTATCCTTATATATACTATTTAAAGACCAGAACAGAGATGATTTATGTTTCCTAAGAAGAATTGAAATGCAGCTTGTATCAGATCAGTCCCATGTACTCAAAAATAGATGTCTCCATTTAGACCCATGGTGGCATTTCCTTGCCACAATCTTCCAACACTTGCTGTGCGAATGAGTGCAAGAGGGCCCTTCACCACCCAAAAGGAACTCCCCTTTCTTAAATTCCCATTGTCCCCTCCTTCTTCTATCCCCAGACTCAACAGTTTTTCCTTGAAGTTCCTCAAATTTTCCCTGGGATTAGAGACTTGAAAGTGATTTGAATAATGAAATTAGTTTTCATATGAATCTTTGGTGCATGCTTTTTAAAAGAACATAATTTTTGACAAGTGTCCATGAGCAAAGGCCTTTCCCTGTTGCCTCAATGTGGGGATGGCTTTTCATTTGCTCATTTGTTCTCAGCTGTGCAGCAAGGGTGTAACAAGTGCATGTGCAAGCATAAAAAGAGGTGCAACATTTTCCTACAGTGGGGGCAGGGGTCTTGCATCAAGGGCTATTCCAGTCACACTACAATGCTGCTGATATTAAAGTGCAAATAACACCAGCTTTTGAGTAGGAAAAACTCTCTAGAGAGCCCTCCTTTTTGGAGTAGTAAGCTGGGAAGGTGCTTCTTGGCATGCAGGTTCCTAGACACAGCCATCTCCTCAGTTAATGCACCACTCCACAGTCTCTTACCCATATCCACAACGCCGACGTCAACCCAGAGGCTGGCACAGAAAGATCCAAGCAGGAAGCCCAGGGTTGGCCCAAACATGCCCGAGGATCTCACCAGGCCTGTAAGAGATGGGAGGCAGCACAGGAGAGTGAGAAAAATGCTGCATGGAGAAGCAGGCCTTCTTCTCTGCGAGCAAGGAAAGGGGAGAGGAAGGAGGAGACAGAAGAGGGCACAGCCCGTTGGGGGATGTCTAATGGGAAGCTTCTGAGCAGCAAGAAAATAAGCCATAAGTTGCCAATACGCTAACTGTGATGTGGAAGCAGGCTCCTTCAGCCGCACAGGGCTTTGCCGAAGCGAGTGCAGTTTCATGTGGACCCCCACATGCATTTCATTGGCAAGATTGGTGTCTCAGAAGGAATAGGAAGAAAGAGAATAACATTACAATGATTTTTAACCCTCCTCCTCCTTACTTCTCTTCTTAGATTTTTGTAGTTGTGTTGTTCAGCTTGTGGCAGATAACTAATGAACGTACAACTCTAGGCCCATTGGAGTCATAGTAAGTCTACCTGCAACTCTATTTACAGCTTGTACGATGTTCTGCGATTGTAGAAGTCAAGCCTTTTCCCTGTACTATGTGTTCAGGTCCCTAGTATAATTTTAAGTAGCAGTAGTTGATCTGATGGTGTGCATCAATATAAGAAGGCACATCTTTGCAGTTTGGAGTCACATTAGGATGACAGGGACAATAAAAGTTCGTACAGGACCCCAAGAATATTTTCAGTAGGTAACAAGGAGATATAAGTGTCCCTGTGTGTGGTCAAAGTTCATTAGACAGAATTTTTGTTGATTCATTCAGCGCTAGAATGAGCAAATAAGCTAACTGTTGTGTTAATACGTACTTATGTCGCTGTAAAAAAAATAAAGAAATCTAGTGATCGAGTAATAACCTCTTTAAAAGCAGCTTTCAGTTTTGCTACTGGCCTCACTAGGGCTTCAATTTCCAGCTCTGTCTCTGCTTACAGAGGAGATAACATGGGATCAGAAGAAGGCGCGTTGCCCCTAGGAGCAAATGAATAAGTTGTGAAGGCTAGCAGAAACCTAGGAAGCTAGGACTGCATTTTGCTGACTGAGTATGTAAATACAGCACAATATGATTTTGGTGACCACTGCTGACAATCAACATAAAATAAAAATATCCTAAAAATAATTCAAGCATAGGTCCTCACATTGTCTTGTCACTTGTGTCGATCTGTTGGAGTTTAGTTGTGAGGGGGTAACAGTTTCAAAAAAAAGTTCAGTGGTTTGGATTTCTGAATTCTAGCATAGAACTGCCACCTGAGAGCTGTTTGAAGTTGCAGAAGGCTTAATTCTATTAGAATAAAAGGAATTCTTGACCAAGTGCCTGTCAGTTCTTGCCCACATTCAGCACTAGGCTCTGTAAATCCTACTGTGTTGTTCTACTGCAGAGATTTTTCTCCTGTTGGTTTTGCAAATTCTCTTCTGAATATAGTGATTGCTCAGCTTATGATCAAGGACTTCTGCAATAAATTCTTACAGCATAATTTAACCATATGATTTTTCATCTTTGCTTCATTGCTCCAATTGCATATTGCTTTCATTTAGTTCTCTCATTTTACTTCATTGGAAGATCTGGCCTTTCAGACTAAATTCTGATGCTTCCAAAATTACTGACTTCTGCAGAGTCAGAATTTTGACATTAGAAGCCAGGAATTAGCTCTTTATATTTATTTATCAGTGAGTCTAAAGTAGAACTTACTATTCAGAGCTATGCAAGCTCATGTCCAAAGTTCAAATACTCAGCGGCAAATTTCTAAAATAAACAGATAAAAACCAGCACACCGACACCAATGGCATTTGTATGCAGTATATTTCATTAAGATACCAGAAGCTAGCAGATAAGCTAAGAAGCATAGGTGCAATAATTTTGCGTAGGTATAGTTTTTAAATTAAATTTCACATTTGCATACCGTTTAAATTAAGAATAACTTCACTAAGATAATATGCTTGTATTGTGATTAAACAAAACTAAATAAGTTCACTGTGATATTTTCTTAGCATATTTTTCCTTTGTAATATTTATTCTTTGTAATTAATAAACAGACTAAACCACAAACAGTAAAGCATGCAGACTTATCAGTTAATCAGCTGCTGCATATTGATATAGCTCAGCCAAACCCTTGTATTGATGAGTAATTTAGCAAGTAACAGGTATGAAAGTTTACAACATACTTTGGCTTCAGATATGCTTCCATTGAAGCCATGGGCTCAATAGATACAAGATTATATGCTAGTGTTCAACTCAGTGATGAAATTTCATTCATTCATTCATTTAAAGCCTCTGCTTTGGTGAGAAATCCATGGAAGTGAAGTACTCCTCATTAAATATCTTTAATTGTCTGTTACTCCTCTTACATGGTAAGTCTGATGGCTACTGCCATTAATTAACCATGTCAATATTCAGTTTCAAATAAAATCAGAAATTAATTTTAAAAGTTGGCTACTGAAAGCTTATTAGTATAGGTGAAATCCTCATATGTATGTTGGCAACTCTTCTATAGGCACCTGAACAGAAGTGAAACACCTGAAGACCATAAAACACAGGAACAAATTAGGCACTTAGCATGGGGGAGTATTTATGAAATTACCTCTCAGTCAGAGCAGTTGGCCTTCAAGGTCACTCCACCAAAGACCCCTCTCAGAACAAAGCAAACCACTGAGATCCTCATATTCCCGTCTCTTGACAAATGCCAATTGCATGTAGAGACAGAGGGTCAGATCATTATACCTTACAGTCATACTGAGTAGTGATCCTAAGCAGAAAAGCTTTTCAGGACTGTATATTGTGTGCAGTGCATTGTACCACCTCAGGACCACACTGATGGCCTGGTAGAACTACATAAATTAAAAAGGTTCTGTAAGACTCAGTCTAAAAACTATAGAATTTCCTGAAAAAAAAAAATCAGTTTCTCACAGAGTTCTACAGAAAAGCTACCATCCTCTATTATACTCTGTAAGACAGCTTAACAAAACCACTGATTTTTCCTTTTCTGTTCCTTCCTGTGGCAACTCTGCTTTTACTGCTGTCAATTATCATCCGCACTACAACTCTGCCAAAAAAGATTTTAATGCATTCTCTTGACACTTAATAATGTATTCTATTGACACTTAATAAAAAGCTGTCTCTGCCTCAAAATAACTTATTTTCTTACTCAACAAAATATCTAAAGGCAGGAGAAAAAGGAGAGACAGGAAGGTGAAACTTCTTGCTCAGGGTCAAATAATGAGATCAATGGTCAAAATTCATCAGCAAGGCTTGACTGACTTCATTATAGGACTTTTTTTATTATTTTACAAAAGCACTGATCATAAATTGATTCAGTCAACTTATAAAAAAATCAGATATAGAAAAGAATTAAAGTTGGTAAAGAAAGGAATTTCAGCTCTTTGGAAAAGACTATTTCAACATTCACTTTTTTTGCAAATTGCATCAGTCCATCAAAATGGAATAAGAGACTGAAAATTGCTATTCAGAATGTTAAAATAAAATATTTTAATACTCTGTAAATGAAATAGTTTATTTCACTTGCATGACCCAAACAAATTTTCATTTTGGTTGAATCCATACTATTCTCTGCATCTCCTTTATATTTGTAAACTCACTTCCCCAATAGCCTCCAACCCATCAAAATCTCTCCCAGATCAGATTCTGACAAGAAAAAATTTCAGCTGAACTTTTAAAAATATCTTTAATCAGAATATCAGAAGCGATTATAATAATTTTGGATAACTGCTGAGTGGAAGTTTCGGTTTTGTCATCTCACTTCACAATACTTCCATTTTCTTCAACCTGCAGATTTCCTCATCCCAAAATGAAGACATTTGCAATGGCCTTCCCCTGTAGCATTACATACTGAGCTCTTCCTGAAACTGTGTCTTACTATCGTTATGACCAGTTCAACTTCACAAAGTTTACTTCAGGCAGCAGTTTTAACCTCCCTCAGCCACACAAAGACTCCATGCTACTAAATCAGTTTGGCAATAAATTAATTAGCTTGGGTGTAAGTCTTTGTGTCTTGGGCAATAGGCTATCTTCCATCAAAACAACAACAAAATCCCAATTAGAAAGGATTTGTTACAACACCCTGGCAAGGATTTAGTTTTTCCTTTGGTAACTAGTGACTTTAAAAAGCTTTCATCAGGAAGCGTGAGCTGTATGTAAAATTCAAAAAGTCAGGTAAAAGCTTCTGAAGCACGTTTACATTACTGTGATTACTTTACTGATCCTTACATTAAGGATCATTCTCTTATCTGTGAGACAGTGATTAGAAAGAAATCTATCCTCTGAAGCTGTGGTACTGAAGATGATATGCCAGATAAGACAGATATGACTTCTCACTTTGGAGAAATGAGTATTTGATTGTCACAGAGAAATATTGTCACAGAGAAAACTGGCATGTGTAGCAGAAGCCAGTTGGGGAAAGCAAAAGGAGCATCTGGGAAATATCCTTCGAAAATAAATGTGAGATCCCTTTTGCATTGCTTTTTTATCTCTGTACAACCCAAAATTATCCAGAACAGAACAGATAGATTTTTTTTGGTGAGTATTTGCTTGGCTACAGAAATGTTAAAGAAAAGAATGTTTAGCATAAAAATCACTCATTTGCATATTACCTATGTAAAATGCTGAGTTTTCTTCTTTAGAAAAATCATCAATATATGAAACTCCCAGTGGCATAACTGGTGCTTCCCCAATTCCACGTAAAAGGTTCCCCATCAACACAAAGAGCCACAGATAGGAATTCGTTGTTTTCTCACATCCTGCAGGCCATAAACATTTACATTTCTGTGAACATAATTCTGACAATACTTTATTGCAACAGAAAAATAACATAAAATATGGTTTTTTACAATCATTATAGGGTGGGTTTGTATATATCATGGTTTCTAACAGGGGTTTTACTGTTTTCCAGTAAAAGAGCATGTATAAAATGGGGACAAGCAGAAGAAGGGAACCCATCATCAGAGCTTTTGCTTACCGAAATTTTTCATTGCGCTGGGTGTTTCTGTAGCATCTGTGACTGGATGGCTCCCAGACAACGCTGGGGAGCAAGCTGATACACTCGTAGAGTTGTCCACAGTAACAGTTATTCTTTCATAATTATAACTGGAAAACAACTATGTAAAATACAACTGACACACGAAAGACTCTGCTTTGCAGAAAGTGGGTATAAGCCTTGCGTTCATACATGTTCATTCCTGTTACATGCAGGCAAAGTAGAGGGGCAACCCATTTCCAGTGCTTTCACTTAAAAATAAAGATAGGTATCTTCATACTTTTTTCAAAATGCTCTGACCATTCTAACCCCAATATTTTCTTAAGCTAAAGAGAAAAAAAGCTGGTTCCAGGGCTTAAGAGATCATTCTTTAGACTGAAGGACAGAGGCAGAGTCCATCCACATCTGTCTACGTACAACAGCGCTGATGTTTTACCATACTGGCACTGGTTTCTTACCTATGTGACAGACTCGTAACACAGAGATTGCTGTGCTAGTTTAAAATTAGCCAGCTAAGGATCTAGTAGTAACCTATCTGTGTTTATAAAGAGATTAACACAGGCTGCAAAACACATGTGCCAGTTTGTCTGTATTTAGGCAACCAGGTGCTACCGCAATTCTGCTGAGTAAATTGAAGCCAGCCTGAGTACCTTTATACTACATCGGGATAAATGGAAAGCAGCTATTCCCTCTGACTGTGCAATCAAGTGGTAACATTTAATATTGTGATGGATGACATGGAGGTCCCCATGGCCACTGGGTTTTGCCTGGCGTTGTGAAGAATGGGTAATCTTCAGAACTTGGCTGTGAGTTTGGGTTAAATCAGAGATTTCCATGGCTCTGCTTCTGGCCTGTGCTGTCCCCTGCAGTGCAGGTTCCCAAGCAGAGTAGTGGCTGTGGCTACTTTCCATACCATGGTCCCCAGATATAATTCTTTCCATACACCCCTTATCACATGTATTTGTCTTGGAATTAAAGAAGATGCACAAATAAATTTTAATTTTTGAGAGATAGAGGGGTTTTATTTTCAACTACTATTCAGTAAGGATGCCGAAGGATTGGAGAGGTGTGAACTGCTTCTGACAACTGTGTAAGCACTAAAGCTTAGATGTGAAGGGATATTTAACTCTCCCTGAGTTCAGTGGAGACAATAGATACATATCTTCATAATTTTAAAGAGCTTAGCATGGATAGCCACCACGGAGAAAGAAACCTTTTCCATCAAGATCTCATTACAGTTCATTTAAGTATAAGAAAAGGAGAACAGCGAAAAAAAAAAAAGTATCTATATTTATCCATCCCAGGTGAAAAATTCAACTCACTTTATCCCTAATTATGTATAAGTTCTGTAGAAACCTGAGGTTTCTCTCTTACTTACCTGTAGAAAGAGGTAAGCTTTCAGAGAGGAAATCAGAAAGAGAATACTAAAGATTCCACCTATTAAAACCTCTCTGTTATCTGGAAGAAACTACTGTTGTCAAACTTTTAACTCAGGTGTATGATTAAAAAACACTTTATATAGTCAAGTTCACTTCGTGCCCAATGTGAAAAATCTCCATATTTACCGTCCCATTAGGAACTGAGGCATCACTGACAAAAATGCTCCTAAGGACATGATGAGACATCCAACAGCAATTACTTTTGGTCGATGAACTCTTGGTCCAAGGTAGCTCACCAACACCATTACCATTAAGTTACCTACATCAACAGGAAAAAGAACCAGTACGGTTACAGAAAGAGGGGTTTTTTAGGGGAAAAATGTATTAAGAAGCAGTATTTATCCAATTTCCAAGAAAGCACACATACCTATCTCAAAGCTGCCATCAATTATGCCAACAATTGAGGATGAGATTTCAAATCTTCTTTCAATTTGACTGGACATGCTCTTCATGTAGCTTCCAGAAAATCCTTTGGCAAAAAAGGAAAAAGATAGAGCTCCAAGAAATATCTGAAAAGAGAAAATAATTGAGTTTGCAAAGAAACAATTTTTTGTTCATGGCTGGATGCCTGAGCAACCTGTTCAAGAAACACAAAAATCAAATGCTTTGCTTTCTAATTGTCTGTGAAGGGATTCTTCCTATCATTTTCATTACAACAGAAGATTTTTCCTTCTCTTTCAGGATGGCCTCCAAAGCCTCTTCTACCGCAAAGAAAAAGAAAGTTGACATTGACTGTGCGCACCTTCTACCTTTCTACCACATACTGGTTTAGCTCTTTCCTTTCTTAGGGAAAACTTGCAGCATAAAGTTGTTCATCACTGATACTATTATTATGGCATGTCTTATTACTCCTACTTCTCCTGTTCTAAAAAAACATGGATGAAAATATATAGCTGCAACTACCACTATGGCTATAGCACACCTCTAAATGATTCATTATTAAAATATGGCCTCACTTTTTAACTTCTGAACACATTTATTGACTTCCATGTGCTTGGAATCACAACCTAGAGCATTGTTTCCAACACGTGCAATGTCAGTGTCATACAGAACTAACTGAATTTTGATAGAACTTCAAATTGCCATTTTCAGTATTGCAGAGAAAATATGTGGTGAGGGCTCCACTCCATACCTTTAGCTTTGAACAAATATGGCACACACTCTTGGCAGGAACTGCGCTGCCATCGCTGTCCTGGAAGAGTGATTTGTCTTTAAGTTGGCCAGCAGTGATTGGCCTGTCCATGGTTTTCCTCCTCCAGATGTGATATGTAGGTTTTCCTGTTTGGAAAATAGCACTATTATTAACTATTATCTGCATAAGAATAAAGGTTCCAATGTTTTTCAGACATACTAGATGGTGAGACACTACTTGACATGTCTACACATTAACACCTTTTCTCAGGAAGGATGTTAAAGAGTGTTCAAAGTGTCATTGTAATGAGTTAAGGATTGGTGCACCTCCTTTGTGAAATCTGCTTTCCAAAAGACTTCGGTACTTTCTTGGATAGATGGAAAATTCAAAGGGAACTTGCTGACAGTTTTTAGAAATCTTTGCAGAGAAGGAAAGTCCCTAAGCAGCAGGAGGCTAGGACAGTATGTCAGAGAAGCATCTTCACCATGCTCGAACCAATTCTTATAGTCTCTTTTAGATATCCGCATTTCTTCACTGTTCCAGGCTAAATGGACCTTTGGTATGATCCAGTAGGCTCCTGATAGTATTTTATATTCATTAGGATTTTCTCTAATTGTGTAATCTATGAATTTGCAGAAATACTGAACACTACTCTGTACCATTCTGTCAACATTCCTATGAGTAACGTTATTTATTGGATAAACGTTTGTAGAGTCAGACCTTAAATGATGACTGAGGAGAAAATAGGGTAAGACATATGGTAGGTAAAGATGTATTAGGGAAAAGAGGGCACTGATTAAAAGAAATTAATAATGACTATCTTTAAGTCCACAAGTCTCCACAAGTTCCTGCAAGACAGATGATAAATGTAGCTATTTTAATGAGACTGCCAAAGTTTTTCATTCAAAAATTGGCTCTGATATAAGGAGTCATCTTAACTACGTTGGTTGATGTAGATTAAGCAGATCAGGGAGACCAGCTAATACAGAGAGATCCAGAATGATAACAAATCAAAAAGAGCTATTGCCAAGTTCTTCTGTTGGAAAACTGGTGCAGTAGTAGTGAAATCAATTAGTTAGCCCCGATATACATTGGCACATGTATTAGAGGAATATAGAGGAATATAGGTCAAGAAATTGGCCTGTAACATCCCCACACACACACCCCCGAGACACTGGGATCTTAGATATCCCACTCTGTTTAATTCCCCTGGAAACTTCTCAAAGTTCCTCTCCTGCAGGCCCCACAGGCCAGCTGACCCGTGAGTGGAGGCCATTTAAGTGTTCTGAGATATTTTCGACTCCAGGGGTGGTAGGGCTATGGCAGGGTCCCTGGCTAACCCACAAAGGTCACTCTATTCCTCTGGAGAGCTCAGTTCTCCCAAGCAAATGCCCAGGAGCAACTTCAACTCCCTGAGAAATGTCCACCCATGCCCAGAAAGGACAAGTCCAACAGCCCCCCAAAAGTTATTCCTAATAATTGTGAAAAGGCACTAATGTCTAATAAAGAGATATAAAGCCTCATAAGCACTCTAACTTGAATTTTGTAGTTTTGAATTCCAAATTCTACTCCAGCAGGGTCCACGAAAAGTGGCTGTGAAAAGCAAACACATGTATATTTCAGTGATCCGCATATGAAATTTCTAGAGGGACCTAACCTTCCTTAGACCATCTTCAGCAGCTCACAAATCAAAAAAACATTGAAAAAAAGAAGTTATAGGTAATTAAAGTCTGGTGAATTCTGATTTACCCCACTCTTTAGAGGATGGGAGCTGAAAGACAGAGTTCTCTAAAGCAAATACATTCTTTATTGATTTGTATTTTGCTGATGATTAACTTTGTGAAACACCTGACTGTTAAATAAACAATATTTAAATCAGTGACGTGGTTTTCTTTTCACAATATTTAATGTTATGCTGCCTTAACAATCTACCTTAACTTATAGAAAATGTTGAACTGTATAAACACTTCTCTTATGCCTAATGAAACAATAACATTTTCCATAACCACTCTATAAAAATCTGAACTTTGGCAAACCAGTGAATCGTTGACACCAGTGGTATTTAAGAGTAAATGAAGCAAGAAAAATAATGCAAGATTTAATTTAAGACAATTTTTTTAAATGAATTAATGGTAATGAATAATTTTTGTATGGAGGGATAAAACATCCCACTGTCCACAGTGCTTATTCTTTAAAAAAAAAAAAAAAAAAAAAATTGGAAAATTTGACCTTTGCACTTTACATAATCTCTTTCAAGTTTAGTGACACTGAGATGTACAAAAAGCCCAGTCTGTCCTGCACTAGCACCTAACAAACAAACAAAGAAACAAACAAACAAATAAAGGGAAAGAAGCAGGAAGGGAGGGTGGGGAGAGACAGCAAGAGGCAGAGAGAGAGAACTTACTTTGTGTCACTGCGACATCAGGCTGTTTCTTTCCCGTGCCCTAGGGCTTTCAGGCTTGGAGCCAGAGCAACGTCACAGCAAAAGCCCTGCCTACTCCAAGTGGAGCGCTCCACCGCATTTTTTTAAACCTTGGATTTCCTTCTTACCATGGTTGCAAAACTTTCCCACAATCACTGATACAAAAGCTTTGCAAAAGAAAGCAGGTTTCTTGTGTTGTCATTACTTTGGCAGTCTACCTGCCAGCATGCTAGTGGTGCCAGCCTCTCCCAGGAGGAGCAACTTGTTTTCTTCACCCTTGTTTTTTCCCCTGAAGTCTAAACACTAAAGCTGCTTCTATCAATCCTACAAAGGGGACTCCCTACCACCCAGCCACCAGCCACAGAGTGGCTCGGCTCACACACAAGAGCCCTGAGTGAGCAGACTCAGTTTTTCGAAGCGTCTTATCTGCAGCCTGAGTAATTTGCAGTTCTCGGTGCCTTTGCTGAGGGTCAGCAGAGATTCTAAGGGATGACTCAGCTCCTTAAAGGGCATGAATTGTATATTGACATCTGCCAGTTTTGGTATGGGCCCTCTGTGTCACAACCCCAAGGCAGAGCTGCAAGAGGGCTACCCTCGTGGAGATCTAAAGACAAGCGGATGCCCTCGGGAAATCACAGCCTCCTGTCAGACCCCCTGCCTATTATAAATCAGAATTATTTAACACAACCACAAGCAGTTCCTGCAGGTGCCAATAGGAGATGTGGAATGACACAGCTATCCCTCCAAGCTGACTACAGCCAGGCCAAACAAAAAGAGTGAGCATATTACCCACAGCTAGCCCAGCTCTTGCATCTTAAACAACCACAAGTAGAAAATCAGCTCACACATCTAACAGGGCACATACAGAGCGCTAGCTCACCTAATTCATGTCTTCTCTAGAGCGGAACTCTCCAGCACAAGGAAAGATCCTGACCCAGAAGTCATTCCAGGCATTATCAACAGAGTCTCAAGAAACTGGTTTTGGTCATCTGGTTGCATGTAACAGCACGGTGCTCGCTTTCGCAGAAACTTAAATTACAAAATCACATCTAATTAAAGGACCTTTCTAGTGACTTCAAAAGATAGAAAAAAGAGGTTTATGACTCAAAAACTTCGAACCCAGGAAGGAAAAAGCATTCTCCCACCATCCCCTTTCTGTCCAGCAAAAGGTAAACTCCTGAAATACAAACTTTGACAAAGTTTGTATGAAAAGGCTTGATTAGCTTTTTCTGTGTAAAAATCCATCAAGAGATTTGCTAAAGATTAAATTAACTCAATGAAATACATGGAAATGTATTATTTAGTCATGACAGTTAAAAGAAATAATAAACTTGCTAAGTCCATAAATATGCAAGTTCTCACTTTCCCCTGAAGCTTGGTAGTTAACTGCAGACAATCATTTTATCTGCCATATTGACATTTGCTATTGGATTTTGTTTGATAGAATTTTACAAACTTTACTGTGATTATTATATATTTATTGATTTATTATGGGTCTTTATGTGAAGTTTCTTTTTTTTCTATTTTGCCAGCAGGACTCTATGCTATCACCAGATACTCAGTGATCAAATCAAAACACAGCTCATTTCTACCATTTAGTAAGAATATAGGCAACACCGAAAAATGTTATTTTCTATAATGTTTTTAATTGTGATGTTCCTGCATTAGTCTTTAAATGCTAACCTCTTGTTTAATTAATTTAGTTTTAACACAAGGGAATAATTTACTTATTGGAACTTTCTTTCTCTTAAAAGAATTCAGAATACAGGAAATACAATCAGACCTATTCTTCAGATAAACTGGTCCATTCTTATACTTTTACTTAGGTGAAGAAGAGTTATCTTTGCCTAGTTCTTAATGTCTTAATTGTTTGTTTTTTTTAAAAAGAATTTTTTAAAATGCTTAGATCCATTCACCAGAATATCACTAGAATAAATCAGTATTTGTTTCATCTGATAATTTCAAATTTACATATATTACAACCTGCATTTAGACTGCTTTTAACTATGATGATATTGCGAAGTTTGAGGAAAAATATAGATGAACATTAGCAATGGGTCCCCTACTTATCATTGCTGTCAGCCTGCAACCAGGTGGAAGAACGAAATCTGTTGGAAAGGTAACTGCAAGCCCATTGTCTGTCAGGAAAGCAGGCAGAGTTCTCAAAATGAGGCACCCAGAAAAATTCCACCAGCACTTTGATAAATGTATTTTAAAGTTGAATACAAAGAAGTTTATCTATAGAAGGCATGACACTTCTAATTGTCACGCATAGATGGTAGGATCCACTTAGAAGGCAGCACTGCTTGGATTCAGTGCAGACACTTCCAGATGAGCCACTCAATTCGTTTCTCTTTACAGAGGAGGAAAAAGAAGCATTTCCAAAGGTGTGTGTTGTCTAGTCTATTTTAGATACTTACTGTTAGATATGAGATGAAATGAACTCCAGATATGGCTGTGAAAGAAGGCTAGACAGCAAGATCAGTTTTTGACAAAGGAAAGTCGGGAGAGATGAATCCCACCAGAAAAGACTTCAGCACTCCCATAAAAATAGTCTTCTGTAACTTTTGCAAACTGAGGTCCGGTGTCTGTGACAGCATTTGCCATCATGCCTGTATGTGCAACTCGGTTGTGATATGGCAGCTGCGAACGGATGAGGAAAGGGCTCTTGTTATGGAAGGGCAGTCCT